TTAGGAAATTCTGTCTTTTTTAAAGACAAAAATTTTTGAGGCGAAATACCCAAAAAGAAGTTTGTAAAAAATGAATCCGCCTCAACAATATAGAAATTATCTACAAATATTTTTTGTTTTGAAATTCCCCTCAGCTTCGATTACAGGAGCGCAGTCCAATTTTCGACGTATTTTCTTCAATATTCTGTCCATCAAGTCTAAGAGGTCTGGACGCAGATGGCGACCATTTTCTAGTTAGGGCCCAGATACGAGCAAGAATTTCTTGGGAAAGGAATATGAGAGCAAAACCCATTCCAAGGTGGAAGACAGAAAATTTCAAATAAGGATAAACGAATACCAGACAGCACTGAACGAAAAAATAAAGACAGACTGGCTTGATCAAATATGTGAGCAGCAATCAAGAAATCAATTCAAGTTCAATATTTAATTTAAACTCGGATACTTCGGAGGTTTGTTCTTATGGACCTGCAACTTCAAATATCCCCAGAAAAGGAAGTCTAATGGAGTCAAATCAGAACTTGTCGGCGGCCAATTAACAGTTGCATTTGTAGTCCAATTAATTATTAGATATAAGTGTTGCATGGCGCATTTACAGAAATTAAGGAACTTGTAGAAATTAAGGATGCCCGATTAAATAGCCATTTAGATAACAACCCCCTATAAATGCCGCTACCCAGCAGACAGACTTTAGACTTAATTTTCATTCATAAGCAGATTGTTGCTGCCACTATATTATAAACACTCACTTTGTAAATTGTATTAATTAAAAATTGTTTTAAAAAGTTGATTTTAATACCAACTTATTTAATTTAGATTAAGGGTGTCTCGTAAGGACATGGTCAGAAGAGTAGGAACTTACGTTGGAAGCAAAGAAGACGATCTGACCTAACTTTTACCAAAAAAWATATCTGCCCCCTTGCTATTGATGGTGAAAGTTGTTCAAAATAATGATCTTTTTCGAAATATCGGGAGAATCAAATGAATAATGAATCTTGATGRGAATTTGTTCTTATGCATATGTTCTGATGACGCAACAGCGAGTTCGTCCGCTTTGGGCAAGTGAGGAMTTCTTCAGGGTCTTGGGACAAAAACTACCAGAACTTTTCAGTTGATACASTGAAACCTGAAAAATACCAGAAAATTTGGTAGTTGGAACCAACTGATTTTTTTCAGTTGATACACTGATGCGCTTTTGTAAAATTTTGTAGCGTTCTAGTTTCTGCGCAAAAACCGCGTCCAAACACAGTTCGGACGAAAACGCTTCTAAAAGACGACCGGCAGTTTGAAATTATAAAACGCTTGGCAATTAATTGAATTTGAAAAAAGTTTATTATAAAAAAATGTTTGATGTTTTAAATGCCTCCAGACCACTGCAGCGAGCGTCTTCTGAGAGCTACAAGCTAAGTAAAAGGAAATTTTAATTCCTCCATGTAGAAAACCTCCACACAAGTTTTTGACGGTGGGAAATCTGGTTAAGAATCTATTAAAAAAACTCGAAAACTTCATTGACACTTTGCCACCCTACATCCCGGAAAGCATTAACTTGCGGATAAGACAAATTTGCCTAAAGCGCATGTTTAGACCACCAGAAAAAATCCCCAATCTTTTAAACTACGAGTGTGATAATAATATTTGAGCGAAATTTGAATAAAGACGTTTAATGGACGGGCAGCTTATGAAACATTTTGAACAACTTTGATATCGGCGCCGCTGCCACAAGCCGCACCAACGACAATCCGTTTCATCCTTCTACTGTGGAGCATGGCTGGTAAGATGTTCAACCATGCGCATAAGCAAACTCCTCCCCCTTGGCACAGTGCGCGCACCTCCAGGGGAATGAAACACTATCCTATTCCCTGGGCCCCTCTCCCCCTAGTTGCCTCCCAATCAAGTTCAATGCGATAATCAGATAGTGATGTGCATGATTTTGTTCACTTTTAACCAATGCAGTCGGTACGTCCGATTCATATTTCCATCCTTTTCCCTTTTRGRATATGAGGAAGACGCAAACATGTTGAATGAGGACATGATAACAATAAACTATTCTGATTTGTTCCCTATTGGTTGGCTAATTCTTTGATAGTTTGTGCAGCAAAATTTRGGAATTTCCATTCACTAGTTTTTCTGAATTTTACTTACTTTCACATTCATTTAAACGCTTGGATAAATTCGTTTTTTAAATGACTGTATTTGTGTTATGTTTTTTTAATATTATAATTATGTTTTTTTATACCTAAAATATTTAATTCAACCTCTACCTGTTAGCATTTGGCCGCTGAATGGAACCCACCCCCAAAATTGCAAGTTCAATAGTGGGTCACACCTGGTTTGAATGGTAGGCATTTTCATTCTCTTTGAGGCTTTTGCCCCAAGCCATTTGGCAGTGACGTCATTATTTGAGGCGCCATTTTGAAATTTACCCATGTTCGCGATTGGTTCGCCAGATTTTGCTTCACATTTGCTCCCACTGATTTGAAAATATTTTATTCTGTTGAATCAGATCTCATTTGTTGATTTGAAGGACAGTCGTTAAACGCATCAAATTTCCTTAGCGCAAACAACTATGTTTCTCCCAAAATCGCGACTCTATAAAATTTATATGTAGGTAAATGCTCTGAAGAATTAAACATTGGAGAGCCGTTAAAGTAAAGGAAATCGAACCAGATATGACCGTAAAGAGAATCAAAAAAGCTTTTTCCACTGGAATTACCGCTCTGTCGGTTTCATTTAGCCACCCTGTATAGCTCTATTTCAAATTTCCCAAATTCAAGTATTCCTATGAAAACTTTCAAAAAATACACGTTTTTTATTGTTTAAATTTTCAATTGATTTCGTTTACAAACAGGAAGCAAACAGAGTGGTTTAGGTTTCATTAGGCTATTTTTTGCAACAAGAGAGTCGAACTTTCAACTTATTTGAATTAACTTAATAACTTATTAAAATACGAAATGCGCACATTATTTGGATTTTATACAAAGTTTTTCTTCTGAAACTTTAAAAATTAAACGAATGTTTGAACAAATTCACTGTCCAGGTTTTACGAACATTAGAAGACAGAATGTTACTCAATTCGAAATATTGATTTAAAACTAAGCAACTGTTTAAAAAAATAAAATTGCTTTTGATGCTTTATATTAAGTATTGAGAAAGTATGAAAGTAGAATTATGTATTTTTTTTCGTATGCATGCAAGGTTTGGAATTTTCTTTAAAAGATTTGCCATACGGTATAAAAAACGAACATTTACTGAAAAAATTACTTGGAGGACTTTCTAGGTTTCTTAGCTTTCATAGTGTCTTTCAATAGGGTTTTCATTCATAATTGGCATTGGCAATTGGCATTAGATGTGTAAAAAGCATGGAAAAGCAAAATTTGAGGCGCGTTTAAACCTCAATTTAATACGATCAGTGTTTAAAAATTATAGAACACTTTTGGTCAAGGTAACAAACGAAAGTTAAGAATATTTAAACACTTAAAAAACTGTGAATACTCAGCTACGCAAGTGATTTCAATGTTTTGGTATGAAAGAGAGTTTGCTTTCATAACAATCCACTTTAATATTTAAGTGTGCTTTATTTTGTAGCCGGAGCTAAAAAAGACCAAAATTTCAAAGAAAAATGACTCAAAGCTAATTTTAAATATGCCTATTTAAATTTTTGCAAATTTCAGCTGAAAATCACGTTGTTATCGACCACTTCTAAAGAAATTCACAAAAACACAGGGATTCGATTCTAAAATGAAAATTGATAATAAATAAAATATCAGCCAATCTTTACGAGTTTAAAATATTATTTATTTGCGCAAATTGCTGCAAATTATTGTTCTTGGTCATCATTTCTCTTCTACTTCGAAGAATCTGTTTGAGCATTATTTATTGGCATTTTTCTGCCAAAACAGCATGGATGACCGGGGTTAAATTATCTTCGGATCAAGCACGATGACGTTTTTTTCCTTGTAATTTCTCACCGACTCACTTTTCTTCTTCTAACTTTTCTTTTATTAGTTTGAGGGCAAGTTGACGAATTTTAACATTTTATACAAAATTATTTTTATTATAGACACACATGTCTTTATCGCAGTGTTCCGACGCAACTTTACTCAACTTATACTGTTTATTATACCTACAAACTTATCAAAAAAATTCGACTTGGGTGAAATTTTGGTGACTTTTCTTCAAACTGCTCTGCATATTTTCATTTGACACCAAAACTTGCCCATGAAGAAATACAAATTTGCGGTTTTTCAAAAAACATTTTGAAAAAATTGGCGAAATTCGATTTTATGTGCGTCAATAACCAAATTTCCCAGATTTTTAGAATGGAATCTCTTCTACACAAAAGGCTCAAAATCAATCTTCTCTCTCGGCTAGTTTTGGAGAAACATATCGAGAAACGCAGGAGAACAAAAGCGGTTGAATCAGAAACGCGACTTTGGCGCCAAACATTTTTTAAAAAATTCGCAAAAATCGATGTTATGTGCGTCAATAACCAAATTTACCAGGTTTATAGAATAGAATCTCTTCTA